ATTATTTCCTTATGAAATACTCGACATTTATGACTTTTGAGAATCTTTATTTCTGTTTTATACGGTACTATGTTGAAATAAACTGCGGGAGATGAGACGCTATAACGGCAGATTGTTAAAAAAATAAGCAAATAGTTACTAAATGCACGATCTATAAAATAACTTTACCCTGACCTCTCTTGATATTTTCGCTAAAGAAATATTTACATTAAACGCAAAATCGATAGGTAGTTAAAAAATAGTATTAGCGGTGGTGATGAAACGCGCGCGCTCTGTATAGGCATGATATATTTATCATCGTAAAATGCGCTATTTATGTTTTGTGTTTTTATCAGTAAACACTTGATATAAATTTTTTCAAAGTAAAATATCTTTATAATTAAAAACACTTCACCCTTTCAAATAAATTGTTACCTATTCAAATTAAGAGGAAATAACGTATGTTTTTCATTTCAGTTCTCTAGTCACTTTTGATAAAATTAATAAAATTTTGAAAATGTTTAGCTCTCATGCTTTAATGATAAATGGCGCTTCAAAGGATCAAAGATGTCATTTATTTATATTTATATTATTAATTTTATATTATATTTCCAGGTTCAGCATGTGTGCATATACATGCAGCAGTATTGAAAATATGCTCATCCTTGACCCAGAAAAGGACTGGATTTCGTGACTGAAATTGTCGATTAACGGAGGCACGTAAATATCTTATAAATTCGGGATTGATCGATATGATGATATCTCGAACGACCGTTTTGCATATTACATCTTGAATTTTTACCTCCTTTTTTTTTATTTTTGCATTATAAGTATGCGAATAACATTATCGACAAAATAGTCACATATTACAGTTTTTTCGTGAAGTAATCGGCATAAATATCACCATTGCGATACATCTAATTAATGTAATAAACTAGCACATGCAGAGATCGAAGGAATTTTCAGCATGTGTGTGTGTGTGTGTGTTAAAGAATTAATTTTAATAAATAATACTTATACATCTATCAAGACACACATTCGTGTGCTGCGATCGGATGAATATAGCTCTCTATCTCGAATTTATTTTAATAGCAAATAAATTGTTACCTTGTTTATGAAATATCATACGAGAATGTATGAGAATATTTTTATTGCTGTTGCCGCCAAAAATGTATTCAATGACGCAGGCATTTCAGCCGGACGTTTACTAAGATTATTGACGGACAAAGTATAACGGCATCTTTGCAAAAGGATGGCCCTCTTCGAAGAAGAGAACATTAGCATTTTCAGGTATTGTTAATGAATTCACGGTTAAACGTTATTTGCGACGATGAGCGCAAAGTGAGGGCGTATATTGAGGCAAGCGGAAGTAAAGTTAGTGGGTCCACCCCATTTCAAAAATATTAGAAAAGCAAAAAAAAGTTTTAACTGAATAAAATTTTTGTAAAGTCCAAATATACATAATCATTGGAAAACTATAGCAGTATTTTTCATCATCTTATAAAGTGCATAAAGTGCATTACAGTTTGAAAGGAATGTTGTTTAGAAAAATTGTTAATAAATAAATATATATACATGTATAAAGAAGAAAGTTTCATTGATCGATGCAAAAAATATGTGAAAATACGTATTTAATCATTGTATAATGCGGTGTTTATTACATAGATTACATTTCAGAGGATGATAATATCATTATAAATGCGAATAAACATAATATGTTTAATAATAACTCTTCACCTCGATATCCTTCGTGACGCTCCGGTTGAAAAGGGTCTTAACGGTACATGTGATACACGCGCTGACTCATTAATAAACAAATGCATAGCAGGCAAATTAGTAGCCTGTTTTTTTTCCGTGAATCCTCTTCCTTGCACATTTTGTGATATTACTTTTCAGGGCATCGCTTGCGTTACGGAGTTCTGTGTAATTATTTTGTCTTCAAACAAATTATACTTCAAAAGAAAATAATTATATGTCTTCTACTCCGATCCTTCACGCACGCATGATGCTGACGAATCAATGAGTTTCGAAAATGCCCAATTATTTCGGGAGCAGCTTCATATAAAGTAAATACACCTAATTAACAGCACAATTATACATTTTTCAAAACCATTTTTTAACTTGAAACATTTCTATATGTGAAATTAAAAATGTTTTAGAGAAAATATATACTTTTGCGATTTTTAAAACTAATGCAAGTATTTATTTGTTAATAATTTTTCTAAACAACATTCCTTTCAAACTGTAATGCACTTTATCGGATGATAAAAAATACTGCTATAGTTTTCCAATAATTATGTATATATTTGGACTTTACAAAAATTTTATTTAGTTAGTTAAAACTTCTTTTTGCTTTTCTAATATTACTTACATTTCTTGCAAGGTGTTGTTTGCGCGTGCTGTGTTCACGAATGCAGTCGCAAGATTTGCATAAGCGTATATATATGCACCAGTCGTAATAAGGAAAGTCATGATTCTCGAATCTGGTTTCGGTTACGCGGCCAATTTTATTGATCGGGTCACAGTGAACCGTTGGTTCGGTCATTTCTGATCCGCATACAATATACAGGACATCCCAGAATTTAACACAGTTTCTTAAGAAGGATTCTTTCAGCATACAAGCATCGACAATTTCTTGAAGTTTAAATCAAGCTTTAAGAATACCAAGAAGCAACAAAACTTGGCGATAAGTTGAAGCTTTAACAGGATGTTAATTTATTATTCGGTTGTTTGCGTATCAAATATTAAATATTTACTGAAAACTACACAAAATATTTTGCGCAATAAAATCGATGATGTATCGTAGATATGCCGTTTTAATATGAAACATTTTAATCGTCAATAAATAGGAAAGCGCCATTCGAAAACGGAGAAGATTCAATCGCTTAAACAACTGAATGTAAATTATCGCGTAAGACGCGAGGCCGAAGTCCTTGGCCCAGAGGAGTCACTCACCGTGAAGGAATTCCCCTCTTTCTCCTAATGGCCATGTGCAGATCCTCGATCTTGAACTTCATCTTACGTCATGCAGTGGTGCTTTTCGGCAGTTTAGTTGCCAAAATTTGAAATAAAGTTCTTGGTTTGTAAATTTTTTACAAAACATATGCAAATTGATGTAAATATATAATTACTCTTTGCGTATAACAGGAACAGCTTACGTAAGTAGAGTTGGAATATATTTATCGCTTTTAACCGAGGCGATTTTAACTGTCCGATTTTTTTTACGTCAAAATATTCGACGCTTGACAATAAATAATGTTGTTCCTGCGCAAAGCACCAATTTTAGTAATTTAATTATTGTTATTATGTTTCAACGTTTCAGGCAGATCGAGTAAAGGATCGTCGAGTCGCAAAAGGGTGAAGAACTTTCGAATGAATTCTCGTTTGGTCGGAGAAGCGGGAAGTCGCTCGCAAAGACTCGAAAGATTCAAGTTTAATAAAACGTTGCGACAACTGTCCTGCCCCTTTTTTTCGCGCATGGTACACGACTTTTTTTACGGCCAGGCCGCTTTTAAGGAGCCAGTGTTCCGTTACAAATACTCGCAGCCGAAATTCCGCCGCAATGACGCAGTCAGTGAGTGCAGTTTTCTTCCTCTTCCTCTGACCGTGCACGCGCGCAAGGGGTCGACGATGAGTTAAGTATTAATTCAACATACAGAAGCGACAGATAATCAGGAATGGAACATGATGGCAGGTCGCACGATCTAATGTCCGCGATGCATTAAAGATCGTGTCGAGTGAAATGAATGCAATCAGCATCATGAAAAGCGTCCCTGCAAAAAGAAACGTAAGGACTTGTCATAAATTTGCGCGATATGTTATTATGTTGGTCATGAATAATGCAATATCTAGAGGAAGCGGTAAATCTAGAGGAATGGTAAATGATGCGTTCGAAATACATTTAAATGCGTTTAAAGAATTATATCTATGACTTATGATATTAGAAATAGCATCTTTCTCAGGGTAAGCAGCTTCCGCTGTTTTTTATTACTACTTGTGAATTGACAAGCGAATATATATGTAAATAAATATGTATAGATTCATGTGTGTTGTACACCTAAAACTGCCTATTTATTTATCATCTTTCCTTTTCGCTAAAGAAGAAAATAAAAAAGATAAACACTAACATTGATCTAGAGTGAAAGATATATTTGTTGACACCGCAATAATTAACGAGCGACAATATTAATCATTACATTATAAATATATATATGTATATCTAATTAACTGGAAGCATATTCAAATGAGGAGCCGCACGAGATGTCTAGCCTGTTCGTCCTTGGTAATAAATATTAAGCAAGCCGGTTTAACGAGTATCGCAAAAAAAGCGATAATCGTACAAGAAAGGTGATTAATCGTAAGAGTACCTATCTGTATCTATTTTTTTTCTCTCTAATCTCTTCCTTCACTCTCAATTGGCTCTGCCTATTCGATTTTATGTAATATACTGAGAAAGCATGGCATTGATGGTGATTATATAAAATAAAACGTTACTTCCGCTTTAAAATACAGCCGATCCGATTGTCTTGCTAGCGACGGTCGGATTATGCGTTTTCTTCTCGCATCTTTTTTATTTTTACTACGCTATAAAATGTACAGGAAAACGTGAACAAATTTAAATTAAAAATCTTTTCGAATAATCCTTCTATCGTATTGAACAACTTAATTACATATTTAATTAGACGCAATTGTGTATTATTCTACATAAAAATATGCAAGCTGTTCGCACCAGTACTTAATCACGCGATACGAGGAAGTGTTGAATTTAGATCAAATTTAATTTTTTAGATTGAAAATTTTGCACGGCAAGTTGTCGTTTCACTGAACAGATACATACATGTTTTTGAATGCGAATAGCTATTACGTGTGTTTATGATTTGTTATTGAACAAGTGCCTTGTAATACTTGTATATACACATGCATGGTCGAAGGATTACAACCTTGAGATCTGCTACCTGACACAGAATCCAAAAGCCTTGTTTGACACGCTAAAAAAGAACTCATTTGTCGAGCAAATTGGCGATAATCTGAGCTGACAATGAGCTGATCCCAGTCAGAGATGTCATATGGAAGGAGGTAACGCATGCGTTAACACGTGAACGTGCCGTGTAGATCGGAGCCAGGCAAAGAGGCGTGTATAAAGTATGCGAAACAGTATAAGTGATCGGTGCAGCAAGCAGGTAGGAATTATAACGCGAATTAACAAGACAATGCAGATCGTGATTCAATTTTTGCCGAATACATGGGATTTTCATTTCTTCGAGCTTGTTATCGCGGTGAATCGTCCGGAGAAATGCGCTTCGTTCGATTTATTTTCAGCGACTGAGGAAAGCAACAATTGAGTGTAGTATTAAAGTTTCTTTTAATAATCAAAGCAGCAGATCGGAAGTTGTATGCGGTACTGCGTGAAAATTGTACGAATATTTCGCGAGGAATGTGCCACAAGTATAATTATGATAAACTATCTTGCGCGCTGTGGCTACTTTAATATCATAAGTCATCGGTAAGTATGCTCGTACGAATGTACGAAAAGTCGTGTGCGTAAAATATTAATCATGTGAAGTGGGATTTCTCTGCTTGAAATACTAGTCTCCGGCGTATAATTAAGTGCGCGAGACATCGTGACTAAACGGCGTAGCATGATTGGTCAAGATAATTTTCGACGATCAATTAGCGGGGAACAAACACGATGCTTACGTGAGTCTTGACTATTAACGCGAATAGACCGTGTGAGTTAAATGTTTATTAAAAGCAAGCCAAACAAAACAAAATGTTGCAAACAGGCTCTCAGAGTCGTTTCTGCGAGAAAAGAATCCGATCAATTTTGCACAGCGTAAAAATAATTTATAGTACGACAATATAAATCTAAATTCACTCAATGAAATTAAATCTGCATTCGGAAAAAAACAACTAATTAATCTACGAACAATTTCAGCTGTAAATATCATTTAATTCTAAAAGAATTAAGAAAAGAGTAAGAATTAAATTCAGCGAAATAAACTCTTGCTGTTTGCTTTTCGAAATAATTGCACACATTCTTGTTGCAATACCTGTTCCTCAAATTGATAAGGATCTAAATACGTTTTTAACAATGAGTTATACTGCGCCTTTGTGCAGAAATATATTCATTTGGACATTTATAACGTTGCTTATCAAGTTGTTACGTATTTTCAGATTTTTTTTTTATATTTATCACAATATTTAAAGGAAAAAGGGTGTCATCAGTGAGCAATGGTCCGCGTTAACTTGAAAAGACTTTTTAAGGACAGAATTCCCCCTTTGAAGTGGCTACCGCGATATAAAGCGGAAGATGCACTGGGCGACCTTGTTGCCGGTCTCACCGTGGGATTAACCTTGATACCACAGGTATTTTTGAAACCAAGTGTTACACCGTTATATCGTTTAATTGCCGAAGGTGCACAATCGCTAAGATTATAATATCCGCAGGCAATAGCTTATGCGAGCTTGGCAGGTTTAAAGCCGCAATATGGACTTTACAGCGCATTTGCGGGAAGTTTTGTTTATATTATTTTCGGGACATGTCGGGAGATCAATATCGGCCCAACAGCGCTTATATCTCTACTGACTTGGACATACGCAAGGTACGAACGTTTAAACTTATTGCAAAGATAATAAAAGCGGGATAAGTCGGTTGCCTTCCTAAGTTATTGAGCTGATTTTCTATTATAATAAATTACACGATTAAGCCATATGTCGAGTTGTTTTTTTCCTTCTCTCTTTTTTGTTTTGACGGAGTAATAGATATTTAAAAGTGAATTGAATCGTAAATCTTATAATTGTCTCTTTATTTCGTTTTTTAAATGCAAATTTGATAGCGTCAAATAAAAATTGACATACCGCCTGCAATGTCGTTGGTTGCGCATGCTAGCTATATTTAACGCTGGTACAATACAGAAATTTCACTTGCATTGAACACGCCATTACACGCATGATTGACGTAATAATATTTCTGCTTGAAGTTTCATCCGGTTATGAAAGAACGTGTTAATTGAGTGTAATTATGATAACTGTAACATGATTGAATTGTTAAAGATATTGTTTTTATCAATTAGTTCTCAAGAGAAAATTCTTTCAGAGGAATTCCTGAATACGCGGCCTTGCTTTGCTTTTTGTCGGGATGTATCACGATATTCTTCAGCGTCCTGCGCCTAGGATTCTTAGTCGAGTTTGTGTCGATGCCGGTTGTATCCGGGTTTACGTCAGCCGCGAGCGTAATCATCGCTTGTAGTCAAATAAAGAGTCTATTAGGCTTGAATATTCACGGTGAGAGCTTCATCGAAATCTGGTGGGAATTGATCAATCATGTAGCCGACACCAAAATACCGGACTTGATTTTGTCTTGCTGCTGCATTCTAACTCTATTAGTCCTGAAGGTAATTGCCGATTATTTATTTAAAGAAACGAGGCAGCTGCGTAAACGCACAGTGTTACGTCGGTTTACTTTTCAGCATTTGAAGGATAGAAAAGTTGCCAATAACACGCTGAAAAGATTCTTCTGGACGATCGGTACAGCCAGGAACGCTCTTGTGGTTGTTCTTTGCGCGGTCGCGTCCTACGTTTTCGAGATGCACAACGGAGCACCGTTCATCCTTACAGGTCACATAGACGCCGGCCTGCCGAGCGTCCAACCACCGCCATTTTCGAGGACAATTGGCAACCAGACTGAGAATTTCATCGACATGACGACGAATTTCAAATTCGGAATCTTGATTGTGCCACTCATCTCCATTATTGGAAACGTCGCTATCGCAAAAGCGTTTTGTACGATATATATTTTTTTTTCAACGTATTGCTTTAACATTCGTTAAGAAATTTAATTTGAAGAGACTATCATGTTGTTAGATAAAGATCTTTTTGAATATTTAAAGCACGAGGCATGCCCTTGGATGCTACGCAAGAGATGCTGACTCTTGGATTGTGCAATGTGATCGGTTCGTTTTTCCAATCCATGCCTGTCACAGGATCTTTTTCGAGGAGCGCAGTGAACAATGCCTCGGGTGTTAGAACACCCTTGGGTGGCATGTATACAGGTGAACTTCATTTATATTACATATAATAATTATAAATTAATTAGTTGTGACGAGAATAATCATTAAAAACGGATATTAACGAACAATTTCAGGTATTCTAGTCATACTTGCGCTAAGTTTACTGACCCCGTATTTCTATTACATTCCGAAGGCGACGTTAAGCTCTGTCATAATTAGCGCGGTGATATTCATGGTGGAAATTAATATGATACTTCCAATATGGAAGTGTAATAGTGAGTATATATAAAATAGTTATTCGCATAAACTGTAGGATAAAAGAGACAAATTTTTATAATTTATTAAAAATTTGATAGATTAATAGTGTTTTTTTTTTTCACAGAACGTGATTTAATACCGGCGTTTGTCACATTTCTCGCTTGCTTATTTGCCGGAGTCGAACTAGGAATTTTGATAGGTACAATAATCGATCTCGCTATATTAATATACCTTAATGCGCGGCCGAGAATACATATTGAATACAAAGATGTAAGAAGACGTAGTTTTAATTTTTTACGAAAGAATGTAAGAAAGTTTCTTAACGGAATTTTTCTTGCAGACTCCGATAACAAACTACGTTCTGATCCGACCTAGTGCCGGACTTTTATTTCCAGCAGTAGATTATTTAAGAACGTATTTAACGAGGGCATTATATAACGAGTACCAAAGCTCCTTAAAAAGTCGCAATAACTTGACGACTGTTGTGCTGGATTGCGAACATATCGACAAAATAGATTTTACCGCCGTACAGGTATCGAAAAGAATATATATAAAATACTCTGGAATCTTGAAAATCTCATGTTCCTTATTTTCAGGGTATTAATATGGTGGTAAAGGACTTCAGAGACAATAATTGTCAATTAATAATGTTGCGACCGAATCCAGATATCTTAAAAAGTATACAGTCGCTGTCGGACAAGCAAATCTTGATAGCAGGAAATGACGTTGATTTAATTACAACTTTGAAAGAATTCAAAGGCATAGCACGAGATGCGGATGTTGAAATGCAAGTCTCGAATAGCAAACCTATTTCGGAAACGACAGATGAAGCTACCACAAGTCTGGCTACCACATATTTGTGATATCTTAAGTATTTATTTTTTTGAAAACACGATTAATGAATTTTAACTGTGCTTTTCTATCCTTCAAATGCTGAAAAGCAAACCGACGTAACACTGTGCGTTTACGTAGCTGCCTCGTTTCTTTAAACAAATAATCGGCAATTACCTTCAGGACTAATAGAGTTAGAATGCAACAAGACAAAATCAAGTCCGGTATTTTGGTCAGCTATATGATTGATCAATTCCCAGTGGATTTCGATGAAGCTCTTACCGTGAATATTCAAGCCTAGCAGACTCTTTATTTGAGAAAATTGTATGCATACGTGTGGCTATATTTCATCATTTTTAATTGTTTTATCTTGTTAATTTTTATCTATGCGACGTTGCACATAATTCAAGTGTGCTGAAAATTAGCATATATGTATATATCCTTACTTGCTTTTTTTTAATAGCAAATATTAAAAAGTATAGTAAAACCATTTTAAATGTTTACTGTTTTGAATTGCTTTTTATCTGGACAAAAAGCATCTGTCCATTATTCTGTTAATTATTTTACAAGCACTTGTGTATATTTATCTTCCAATTTTTCACATCGACAAATTTTTAATTTATGTGTTTACCCCACATAATTGACAAATAAAACATTATAAATATAATCAAAGCGCACTATATTTATTTCATAAAATTTAGTCCAGAAAAGTATAAACCATATAATCATCTTCATTAACGATTTAAACAAAAATAAGGTAGAAAAATCAAGTACTAACCTACATAATATATAGCTCTGAAATAGATTTTAAAATTATAAGTAATTAAAGTTTACAAAAATCTTACATACTAAATATTTGTTAAACAATATTTTTTTTTGAGACATACCTATGTCGGAAAATATAACAAATTATACATATCTTACTTTATTCATAACTGAAATCTACTTTGGAAAACCTACGGACTTAAACAGAACTTAAATATTTTATGGATATAGTATTTTAAGCTTTATGAAGACTTAAAGTGCGTTTCTAGATGCAAAAAAAACATATTTTTGGGAATTTGCCTCTTACAATACGATATAAATGTAAAATTAATAATAATAAATTTTCTTAACATATGCTGTAAGTTTTTCAATTTTAATACTGTTTGTAAAAAAGGATTAATGCTAGATTATAATAAGTATGATAGCAATTTTATAAAATAACTTTGAAAATAGTGCTTTTTCGAAATTATGAAATACTTATAAGTAGATTATTTCCAAACATAAATTAACAGAATTGTATTGAAACTTTATATCACAGTGTAAACTACTAATTTTTGAATCTTATATTCTTATGTTTTCTTAAACTTATGTGTACCACGACCAATATTGAAAGAGGGTGTATATTCTTTTGAAAAACCTTGGTAAGTTGTATTTCTTTGAAAGCCGCCATTGTATTTTTGTAACTTCGATGGGTAATAATTCGTGTGCGGTCTCGCTTTAAATTCTGGTTTGAATGTATGCATCGCAGATTGATCAATCTTATTCGAATAATTTGCTTTGCTCGTTATAAACTCTTTCGGAGATATTATTGGGGGAACAACTTCCGGTCCGTTATCGTCACAGACGAGATCTTGCGATGATGAAATCTTGATCGTTTGACTCTTCACGTTCCTCGACATTTGCATCGGATTTTGCTTATGATACTTCTGATTTGACGAGTAGTACGGATTAGATTGATTTACATCTGTTGCGAAATTCATACTTTGCTGTCGCGAGCGCGTTATATATTGAGGAACGTTGTAAACCGTTCGGCAATTATCTGGATTCTTGTTCTTGTAATACTGATTGGATTTCAATGGAACATTGTCAAAGCTTCTTGTTTGTCTAGCGCAATTATTCGGATCACCGCGTGTACTTCTAGCATATTCATTCATTTGTACATAAGGAACGTATTTATGCTGCTGTTCGTGCATAGAGCAGACGTCAGTAAAATTGTTCGGTTGACTAGGCACATTGGGAAGTATGGCATAGTTCGCGCATGGAGAATTATAAAAGTATCCGGACATCGAGTACTGTAATTGCGGATTCCACGTTTGCATACACGATGGTGATGCGTAAACTACCGATTGCGCACAATTTGTCATGTGCGAATTGTCAAAGTCGTCGGGACTAAAAACTTCGGGATTGTAAACATTCATTGTTGCAAGTTGCGTCGTGTTGTACGGATGTTCAGTGTAAAAACCATCCTGAATCGAAGGGTTCCATCTGCACGGGCCAATCTGATCCGATGATGCAGGATGATTGGGAAAATGAGAATGCGCCGCGACAGATCTCGGTTGCACAGTCGGCGCGCATTTGTACAGTAAATTCGGGTTTTCTCCATTCATCGTGGTTTCTAGAAGGGCGCTTTCACACGACGGAGGCGTTTGCACGTTGCATTCATACTTACGTCCACATGATGATGCCGCATCCAAAGTATTCGGAATCTGCAAAAAGTGCATCATATCGCTAGTTGAACAATGTTGATCGTAAAACTTGTTGCTATGGTCCGGTTTCCATTGTGACATTTGTCTCATTTGATTTCCTGCTTGAGTAACTTGAGTTTGTTGTACGTTAAAAGGCGGTATGTTTTGAATGGACTGCTGTGGCATCATAGAGTTCATGACTACTGCGTTCTTGTACAGTGAATTATCAAATGAGTTGTTATACCAAACAGTTTGATTACTTTCTAATTTATTTGCATTATCCATGCACTGTATGCTTTCAGGCTTCACTATATGTTGATATAGCATATTGGGTTGCAATTCTACAATATTTTTATCAAAGTGTAAATTAGAATATTTAGGTGGATTTATTTTGTCATTATCCATTTTATTGTTGTCTGCAAGTTGCTCATCTATATCGACTTTAGATTTATCAATCGTGTTCATCTCTTTTGCCTCTTTACGACACTGTTCCATCGTTTCAGGTTCCGCACACGTATTAAGTTCAACACTTGAATTCACATCTTTTTTATCTCCTATTAAATATGTCTCCGATTTCATAGAAATTGTATTTTTATCATTAGACGTTAATGTATCAATTTTAGTTGGCGATTTTACATTTGACGATTGCGTGCGATTTACATCTTCATGCCATTTTGAATCATTTTCCAAATTGTTTGCACACATTTTTTTATCTTTCATATTTGATTTTGAATATTGATTAGTAGATGTATATTCCTTCTTTGTAATAGCTTTATGTTCAGCATTGTCAGTACGTTTTCTGTAAAATCTTGGATTGTTACGTGTGTATGATGAATTTTTTCCATCGGTCAAAGGTTGTTCAGTATTTTTTGGTACATTTTTAGTTTGCACGGGTTTTGAAAACGTTGAATTTTTATATTGCATAACAAATGTAGTACTTCTTTTAACACCACAATCCATTTTTTGATCATCTTCAAAGTTTTTCTCATCAACAGTTTTTCCACTTTTCTTTTCAGATTTATTTAAGACATCAGAATTTTTAGATGCATTTGTTACTTTTTCCGGTTGTTTATTCTTATCAATAGATTGATTAAGTAGGCATGTAGATCTTCTAAAAGGCTCTTCTTTTTTTAATTTTGATACAAATTGTTTTGAACCATTTTGCTGTTTTTGCAATATTTTATCCTTATTTGTATTTTTACTGTTACATGTCTCAGGTGTTTTATTAGATTCTGCTTTAAGATCTGTTTTTGCTACACTTGATTTTACATCCTTTGTTTCTTTGTCCATTCCGTTTTTGGAAACATTGTGTTGTTTTACAAATTCTTGTCTTTTTATGTAAGCAATATTCTTTGTAAATCCAGTTTTGTTATTAAATCGATCGAATTGTTTATTTTTATCACTAAATCTCGATGATTTCAATGAATTGGGAATTGGTTTCTTAGAATCACTATTAAAAGTAGGAGATTTTTCATTATTTGTAGATATATCCATTCTAGTATTACATCCATTCTTGAAATTTATTTTTGGTTCATCATTTATTGTTTTCTTCACATGCGCGTCTAAAGTAAAATATATTATTACAAAAAATAATATTGAAATACATAAATAAAACACATGGTTACAATAAACTTACCTTTATCCTTTATTTCCGTTGAAGCTTTGCAGGTTTCTGTATCAGTTATGATACAAGTTGATTTCTCTTTATCGTTTACTTTTGTCACAACTGGTGTCGCAGATGTTGAATGAGATGTTGAATTGTTGTTATCATCAGAAATTTTTGTTAAATTCGGCTTTTTAATGTCTTGATCAATTTTTTGTGAATTGGGAAGATTTGAATTGTCATCAGTTCTAAAATGTGTTGCAAATATAAAATAGCATATCAAAATATGTTACATAGTTCACTACTTATAAAAAAGTTAAAAATTTTTTTAAATGTACCTTGTAATATTTTCAGCATTACTTTGTGATACACTTGATTGATCTTTTTGTTTTTTGTCTGCATCAAATTGAGCTTCCACCTGTGCTGTTACAATACTTTCCACAACGCTTACTTCCATAATTTCTTCTTCTTTGTCCTTTTCCATAACTAATTTGTTAATACTTTGAAACAAATTAGCTGTATCTTTGATCAACATGTCCATATTATTTTCTGGCACTGTATCACTAGATAAATGTTTTTTACATGTATCTGTTGAACAATATGCGACAGATTCTTCAACTAAAGATGTCACATTTTCTGTTGATAAGGTTTTGTCTTTTGCCATGTCATTTTTATTATCATCTTGTACTTGCTTACAAACAATCGTTTTTTCACTGCAACAGAAAATTAATATAAAAGTAATTTTTAAACATAAAGTGCTAATAAGATTATAAAATATACCTTTAGTCCATCCATTTATATAGCAGCTAATGTAAAGCTTTATATAAAATAGATATTAATATAAATTATAGAAAATAATAGAAAATGTTTTAACATGTTATTTTAAAATTATATATAAATTCAATATTAAATTCTTACTCTGATAAACATCCAAATTAAATTGAGAAACATTTTGTCATTTTGTGATTTATGTTGCTGATGTACAACTCATATTCTTTAGCTTTAATTTAGCATGAAACAAAGAAGAAATAAGTATTAAACATACCAAGTTGGAGATTGAGATGTTTTTTTTAGCCACTGCATATTATATAGCTTGCTGACCATTGCTTCTCGCTCTGGATTAGAAGCATTTTCCGAATGTTTGACAGCACACTCCATTATATCTATCACAGATATATTTATAAGAATTATTTATGCACCACTTGCATGCAATTTTGCTAAATAAAAATTTGTCTGTGTATCCTCTCAAAATTATTTTATTACTTAGATGTTAAAACTTCTCAAACTATAAAATAATTTACAATAATAATTTTCTTCTAACTTAGCTTAAAATGGTTTCCAGAAAACATAAAATAATTCTGAATTTTATACAGTGTTAGAACAAAACAATTATTGATATTTATTATATTAATAATATTTAATATTTGGTGGCATTTTGTTAAAATATATTCTATGCAAATTTAAAAAATTATTTATCAATTATAAGATGCTATTGATACATACAATATAGATGTAAGAAAAGTAATAGAAAGGTATCTAAAAATTATATCACCGATTTCAAGACTGATCAGACAATCTTTTGAAAAGTTCCTGCCAAGACCTTACAATTGACTTGCTTACAGACTGTCTTGTATTGATTTTAGTATGGTTTCTCAATGTAAACATAAATAGGAAGCTAACGTTGTCATTATTGATACATGTTAAGCTACCGAGCATTTACAATATCTCGAAATGATAGAACTACATTGTATCACGTGTAGGCTGGTATGTCTCGAGAATACTGTACATTCTTTCAAGAAAGTCAACAAATAAGGGAGTTTTCGATTCTCAAATCAGTAGAAAATATCCTTTATACTTGACTTCCTCCCGTAGATTCACGTGGAACTGAATATTAATAGTTATAACACGAGGGTATTTTACCTTGTTAGTCACGTGCAACTTTCAATAAACAAAATATATTGATCTTCTACAGAATTAGAACGTGAACGTTACTCTTTCTCTCTTTGACAATGAGTTACAGACGCCATAAACTGTTATAAACAGAATTATCAAGAAAATTTTAAAAAAATCTTTTGCTATTCACCGACAGTGCTAATTGGCTATCAGATAGGAAGTTCAGCTCTTGCCAATGGCAATACAGTGATGCGATATTGTGAAGAGCAGCACTCGAGCCCCACACAAACGAAATCCGCATATACGTGTTGCGCAGAACGCTTTGTCAGCAGAAGTACGCAGTTCTCACTTGTGGGATTCGAAACCGTTGTTCGCAATATCGCATCAACGATGACAAGGCTTATGACGTTTTTCAGGGCATCAATCATGTAATTTTTCCCTAGATAGAAGCGGAAACGTGAAAACTCACGTGAATTCGACGAATAGAATAATCGCATTTGACTTCTCACTTTCACGTTTTGCTCCTAGGGAAAAATTACGTGATCGATGCCCTGAGAAAAACCCTAGATGGCCAGAAACCGCCAGTAGTAGTGCTAGTAGTCAGCGGAATTGAATTGTTTCTATGCACATGTGACTAAAAAACCACGTTGTTTGAATTAAACTTACAATGACGAAGAAAATATTGAAGAGAAAGCAAGAAGAAGAAGAAGTGGAAAAACAAAATAATCCAAAAAAGAGAACATCAGACGAGCCTGCTGCTAAAAAGGTTTACAAATATCTAACTTATTTACAAAAACTTAACCTGCTCCATGCATTCTTGCTCTATATAATTAGAATAATGTAAAGTAACAAATAAAAATATTGTATTTTATAATATATGTACATCAAGCTTTTTTTTTAATAGATATGTTCATTAAAATCCATTATATCACTAGTACTAAATTTTTCCAAGCAGTTATTTATCTTTTATTATGTTACAAGTTAATTTGTCAATGAGAAATCTAAATTAAAAACGATGTAATTTCCCTTGCAGGTAAAATGGATCAACCGGCAACGAGTATTGGTATTTGCCACTCGAGGTATTAATCACAGACATCGACATCTTATGGAAGATTTGAAGACGTTGATGCCACATCATCGTCCAGAATGCAAGATGGAACGCAGTCAGAATTTGCAAGTAGTGAATGAAATGTGCGAAATGAAGAATTGCAGTAAGGCTATTTTGTTTGAAGGCCGAAGGAAGCGTGATCTTTACGTATGGTTTGCTAATGTATCCACTGGCCCAAGTATAAAATTTCTTGTGGAAAATAGTACGTATTAGTCCTGTTTAGATTTAAAAGAGATTTCTGTATTATAATTATATCTTATTTTATTTACAGTTTACACAATGGGGGAACTGAAGATGACAGGAAATTGTTTAAAGGGATCTCGGCCATTGCTATCGTTTGATGAAAATTTTACCAAACATGCACATTACAGTCTTTTGAAGGAGTTACTGATGCAGATTTTTGGTGTACCAAATCATCATCCTAAAAGCCAGCCATTCTTTGATCATGTATATACGTTCAGCATTCTGGATAATAGGATATGGTTCCGAAATTTTCAAATTTTAACTGAAGATGGTGGATTAGCTGAAATTGGACCAAGATTTGTCTTGAATCCGGTTAAAATTTTTGCTGGAAGTTTTGGCGGTAATACTTTATGGGATAATCCGCATTATATTTCCCCTGCTAAGGTAATACATTATTTTTATATTATATTTGTTGAGTGTATTATAATCGATTTATTTATATTATATTGCGAAATTGTTTATAATTTTTAAAATTTTAGTATCGGCAATCGTTAATAAAGAAAGCTGCTAACAAATACATAAACAGAGTAGAACAGAAAATGGCACGAGAAGCAAACAAGCCTGAAAAATCTTATGTACTCAATCCTACAGATGAGATATTTAAAGGTGATCCGTTAGAAAAAGCAGTGGAAATGGAAGAAAAGCTCGAGACATTAGATAAAAGTGAAAATATGAAAAATGTTAAAAAGAGAAAAGCAAAAAAAATTAAAAAATCTGTAGTACAAAAAGTTAAAGCAAAATCTACAAGACCCAAAAATTTGAAGAAGAAAGGAAAATCTTCATGAATAAATTTTATTTTGTAACGTTACTATTAAAATAATTAATATGAATGATCTTATATTATGGAATTATTTAGTAAACTCAATCACCCAATCACTCAATCAATAACAAGTTACATTTTTTAATTAAGATCGCAAACAGTTTTTATCAGAAATAGATTTTGGTATAGAATGAAATAACAGAAAAGCTTTTTTATTTATTATTTTATTTTTATAATATATAATTTAATGAAGATTAACTGAACAATCTCATAGTATATTATCCACATATATAATGCTAAGTAAATATATTGAACTTTGAATCGCTTTGTCTTGCAAAGTGTGCACATTTGCGTACTTTTAACAATGTTGTACTTTTAGGCCCTCCAAATTTAATAATTAAATAATTCACAATTTGTTCAATTGAAATTTTTCTTAAATTATAAACACTTTTCGTATATTACTAAAAAATAAAATTTTTTTTCAGTACTTAATATAGCTGTTTATATAGCTGCTTAATAAGCTGTTTAAAAAAAAACTTGATCGTGTAATCAATTATTCATGATATGTAATCGTTGATTATGTAAAACACATCGAGTTAAACCATTTGATAGTATTTTGTACTTCCTAATCGGTATGCCATACTTATCAATATAAATTCATGTATGTTTATCTAAAATATTTTAAATTTATCTTAGAAAACTACATGTATATTACTTAATTTAACTCGAAAAAGCACTTGCATAATACTTCTTATTAAATTAGCTTAAAATACTTTGTACATCAGAATCTGAAAGCCTCTTATTATCTAGGTATGAATTAAATTTTGTCTCATATTTTTCTTTAAATCATTTCATTGGAAGGAATAAAAATGTGTAAAGTTTAGACCTTCCAATGAATAGAAGAACGACTTTTCATCAATAGAGAAACTTCATATTATAAATATAAGAAATTTGTTGTACTACAAGTAATTGCACTTTGTATTAATGTTTGGAGTATTTTGTTAAAAAATATTTTTTTTTTAAATGACCTGCATTTACATTTTTAAGATGCAAATGCCAATACTCATACCATTACAAATGGTTTTACGACACAGTAAAGTTTTCAGTTTGTGTAATGGCACTTTGATGACATAAAGTCAGTTGTCTGAAAAAAGCTCTTATAAACCAATATACTTTGCTTGTGAATCACATATTTAGTACTGAATAAAATAATTAAATAACTTGTTTGTAAAGCAAAAAAGTAAGGCTATGAAAAATTCTTACAGAATAAAATATAGTCTCTTTTTCAGTGATTCTGATAAAAATTACGAAATATATCTTAAAAGTTGGCAGTTAAATAAAGATCTGACGGTAAGTACAAGCAGATTGCATATCTCGAAGTAAACAATTAATCGCCATTGCATTATTTTCTGTTTCATAAGCATGATTCTTCGTGTTATTATGTAGCTAGTTGCTCAATTTCGAAATTTTTGCATTACAATAAAAATTGCCTAAATATCTCTATCTTGTGATGATAAAAAATTTAACAATTCAGATTGAATGAAATCTAATGATATAAAAATGATATATCACAAAAGAAGACCTATGGTCTTAAGAGATGAGCGTCTGTACTTAAACACCATAAAAGAAATCGTAGTATGTGTTACAAAATTACACGATTAGATAAAAGTAAAATATACATATATCCCACTTTGAATATCATTGTTATTCGTAACTATTTGTTCTGTTATATGTTAAAATATCTTATGAACAACTTTCTTATGATTTTATGCGTAAATATTTTAAAGTATCTATATTGTAAAAATAATTTTCATGATTTTCGTAGTTATTTGTATAATAATGCAATATTGTATGCGTGAAAATTGAAAGGAATGTACTCTCATTAACTTTATAGATATATAAAGTGATAAAATGCAAAAATAAGTACCCTAAGAATATAAAAAAGATATGTGCGTACAAAAATGTGTATAAAAAAGATGCATGTAAAATATCAAATACTTATATGAACTTATTTGTTCATTGGTGTTAGTTCGTGAGATTGCTGCCCATTCGCGTTGCTGCTAGTAGCACCGATCTGAGCTAATGCGGACTGGCGCCATTTTCCATTTTCACCGTTCAAATTTTTATCCTCGCATACACACAGGAATAATGTATCGATGACGGTCTGAAATAATAAATTAATTTATTATAAAAGATCTAGACAACACTAAAATAAATTCTTCGCAAAGATTTAGTTAAGTAAGTAAATATAAAAAAATTATAACTTACCTCGTAAAGAGAAATTATGCAATGAGCAATGAAAAATGAGAAAACACAAACAATGAAGATCGGAATAGCATAGAAATGTAGCTTGGGATCTTGTCTCATTAAAAGCAATGCAACACTTCCGGTTGTGGCTGTGACGAAACACTTTCCCAGAAACAATATAAAATCGCCAAATCCATTGATCACTGCTATTTGCAGAGCATTACTGACGAGCGTAGTAAATGCCTTGAAATGAAAATGAGATGTTTTTAGCGCTACACAATTAATAATCTATATGCATGTTATATTAATATTCGATCGTTATTTTTTTTAAATTCTTGTAGATATAAACTACTTAGAAAACGTACTATTCTTGCCGCATTACAAAAATGGGTACCCTCTATGGCAACAACGGTGTACGCGTTATGATTCATATATCGAATAAACTTCTCCAAACACCAGAAACAGCAAATGCAAGCTTTCAAACCACATTGGGAGCATGGAGATGTTTCCTTAGTCTTCTCAAATCTGTGGAATATAATTCAAGAATTAAAAGATCGAAGAAATCGAGGATTAGATATTTTTTTTTACCAAGAAACTTACTTGGTATGCAGGTACGTTAAGATCAGTCTAGGCAATTTAAAAATGGTTATCAAGAGTGAACCACACGCCACAGAGCCTAAATGATAGCACACCAAATGCCCTATGGATGAACACACTGGAGATGTATTGGCATTTTTACCTCTAATGAAAAAAAACCGGTCGTTATTAAATCGCACTCGTCATAATTTTATATATAATACACGTTGTGTAAAATATTACCTAAAGTACCAGTGGGCAACGGAACCTGATATTACCATGGCTTGACATCCCACAATAAATTCCGACGTCCATATCAATCCTATGAGATAGACCCACCACATATACTTCACCCAAGTTAGGTCAACGTATTCGACGAGAGTAAACGCTAAAACGTACAACGCCTCATTATTTAATTTTCTTCGTTGATTACAAAATATACAAAAAAAATGCTAAATTACTTTTGAAATTCTCCAGGGAAAAATCTAACTCCTTTTTCTCAATTAACGAAGCCTTTTCATCAATTGAGCTTAAATTGATAGAATTAAATATAGTGCTTTTGTACATTTGTACTGACTTTGTTTCAGGATAATCTGTAATAAAGTTCCATATAAATAAATTAAATCTTTGGTCATAAAACAAGCTTATCTACTAATAAAATGTTGTGGAATACTCACTGGCTGTTGCGAGGCAAAGAACTACAAATATCCAAAAGGCAAAAAACAATAGTAAAGTTATAAATGTTAAAAATGGTTGGAAAAATAGGCCAGGTAATTCTTTCAAGCACTTTGCACTTTCTTTGAATAGTGCTGCCATAAAAGTGATGCGTTTGCGTAATATGCATGAAAGAAAGAGTAAAATTACCTATAAAAAAAAGAGATTGTTAATAAGAATTTCTATATTATTTAAAATAAAACGTTATCTTGCATATATATTTTATGTTATAGAGATATTTCAGATATATTATCTCAGTCGCACTTACAGTGATAATAGTGGCAATGATGGAAAATGCGAGAAATGCTCTTTCATTCCTAACAGATTCTTCAAGAAGCTGATTTGAATCAGTTTTGTCCAATGTTCTTTTAATATCAGCATACGTCACCCATAAAAGGATTGTGCCAGCTATAAACATTTTTAATATGTATGATTTTATTTATCACATCTTTGCTGTAAGCATATTCATTAAAAAAGTCGGTTCTTCTCATATTAATATTTAAAAAAAATGTAACTCACCTGTGCAAGCGATGCTTACAAGTACAATTATAATCCATGTCACAATATTGGCCAATAAATGAAAGATGGCTATTGTAAAGAGTGATAAAACTGGAAAGAAAAAAAAATTAGTATTTGTTGCATAGCTTATTACGATACAGCAATGCATTGTATACTTACCACAGGCCAGAAAAGATAACGCTAGAATGTGCTTCCAAGTTTTATATAAATCTCCCAAAACTTGCTCGAATACATCCCACGAGTTGATAAAGCCATATAAATTCAAGACAATTGTTTCACCCACTTCCTGAATTATCTTAGGGATACAGCGATTTAAAACAGGTATACTAGCGAAAACTGGTAGCTCTGGACAAGATCCATTCTTAAATTTGCTACTCTCGCTGCTACAGGCACTGAAATCGCCTCCTGGTCTATCGTGACACAACTGCGATCCCGATGCTTTGTAAAAAGTACAAATATCTTCCATTGTCTTTAAAGTTCGATCGGGACAATGCTTCACACAAATTTTCAACGACTGTGTAACATTATTAATATCCAGGAAGAATAAATATCTAAAATGTGACATAATATCTATTTTTAGAATATATTGCCATAAAGATAGATATTTCAAAATAAATAGGAGAAGAACATTTATAAGATACTGACGGCTTGTCACTGGTGTCCTGCCCAGAGAGCTCCATGTTACCAAACTTTGGATTATTTTTCATGCCGCACGTATTTCCAAAACTATCGTATCCATTTATGAGCCGCAAGGGGTTGCCGTAGACTATTGCGAAGGCCGCGATTAAGATCTGTGGACAATTAAATTAACATATCGGGCTACAGATGCGTCTTCTTTTATAAAAGGAATGCTTGAATGTATACAATGAGCATCAGTCATATACCATGAGAAACCAGAACGCAATGAAGGAGCAAAGCCAGAAAACATCCGTGCATCCCCGCACTCGCGTCGGTTCGGCGCGCTCCTCAATTTTACTACCAGTGCAGCAAGGCATCTTTTTCTATCGCCTCTTCGATTGCCTCCAATCGTTAGCACACCACTACGGCACTACGCTAAAAGACACTTGTTCGCGCAAAGTTGTTATTGTTGTCGTCGTGCGTTCTTTTCAATTCACAGTGTCGGAGTACACCAAACGTTACACGCCCAGTGCCGTAGCCATGGCATAACTGTAAAAGACCCTCGCACATACTCATCACAGCCATGATTATGTAGTGGTGTAGCTATTAATAGACGCTCCATTTCTCGCCGTTAATTGCTGTTTAAAATTAAATTTTTAACTTTCCGAAATCTATTCTCCGTTGTTACAAAGCGCAGACTGTTTTTACGCATATTACCGGGAAATTTCAGCTCTGTGACTACATATCGGTTTTTGTGATAAAAAAAATTGTTTGCAGTAGGTTCGACTGCTGTTGCGAACAGCCCTGCGATCTGCGTTCCGGCGTAATATCGTTTCCACGGTAACGAATGCGTACGTCACATGGGGATTATTTCAATGAAAGCTACCGCCGCGACATGGCAGCAGCAACAGATTATCAACCATTTAGCCATACAATCGTCGGCATGTTGTGAAAACATTAGTCTTGACTCTAGCAAAATAAACGTTCCCGTTTAATCGCCAAATTTCAGTTGTGAGTATGACTATTTACAAACATTTTGCGTCCTCGAAGATCATCTCTTTCGTCGTCGAGAATAATCAAACGTGGAAATACGCCGCCTAGGACATAACCTATCGGACACCTTTGGATTACGATTAAATTACAATCGTCTAAAGTTGTATTTTTTCAACGAAAAACAATGAGAATAATTTTTACATCGGAGTCCGAAACAGATTCGGAATGTGTGTTCAACCATGTTCAATTTTTAATGCTAATATTTATATTACTAATATATATATATATATATAGATTTTCCTGAATCAGTTACTAATCATCGCTATTTAAAAATTTGTGGCTTTTTTAAACAAAAACGATCTTATTTCTATTGTAATTTCTAAGAAACTTATTGAAGAAATTATATAATATTTGCAAAAAACTTGATTTATCAAAATGTCAAAATTGATCTGATCATGAAAAGATAAAATTTAATGTAGCATAAATTTTTTATTTCAGTGATGGAGGAGAATGGAAGTAAGAGAATGAGGGGTAGAACTCGTGGCAGGGCTCGCGGACGTGCTCGGGGCCGAGCTAGAGGAAGAACGAAGAAGCAAGTTAAGGTAGATGAGAATTTTAACTCATTTCTTAAATTAACTTATATTCTTAATTAGACTAAAGTTACTTAAAATGTCACCTGATAAAATAATATATTTGATATATAATTCATGTCTTGAAATTGTTTTTAGGTTATCGAAAGTGATGACGAAGATACTCCGCAGCAAACAGAAGACTCTACCGCAGAGGCAATTGGTGGCGAGCAGGAGGAACATGAAGCTCCCACGTCTCAGCAGCCTTCTCTTGAACAGCAATTTGATTTGGAAGCTGATATATCGCAGTTGGAAGCGCCAACTTTTACAACCATTAATCGGGGTCCGCCAGAGCCAATGTTGCGTTTGAGATGGGATCACAGAGTGAATCTTATTGGAGAGAAAGTACTGAATCCTATGATACACTGCTGTGACAAATGTTTAAAACCCATTCTCATTTATGGTCGTATGGTATGCTTCGTTACAAAAATGTGGCTTTTATATTTCTCATAAATTGGCTTTTAACTATATTGCGTTTCATATACATGTTTTCAGATACCTTGCAAACATGTATTTTGTCTCTCTTGTGCTAAAAGAGAGGATAAAGTCTGTCCTCGTTGTATGGAAAAGGTATCCAGAGTAGAGCAAACTGGTCTGGGTACAGTATTTATGTGCACACATGGTGGAACAAGATATGGGAATGCGGGCTGTCGAAGAACATATCTTAGCCAACGGGATCTGCAGGTAAATAAATATCGATAAAATCCCGAATCGAGAATGCAGACTTTAATTTAATAGTTATTATAAAATAATGCAATATATTACCCAATCAAAGTTGAATATATACATAATTTTGTAGGCTCACATTAATCATCGGCATATATCAGCACCACCTCAACCAGTTCAAGGGATGCAAGTCGATCCTCCGCAGTACGTTCATGCCAAGTCGGAGATGGAGTCGCAGTTGACGAAGGTGTCTTCCCTGTCGATGCAGAACACACGACTGAAATCTGTGCAGTCTCACATGGTTCAGCCGATCATGGGCAACGATCCCCGTGTAAATTCAATGGTGAGCCAGCAACCAACGTTGGAGCAGCATCGGCAACAACACAGGCAGCAGCAGCAGCAGCAGCAACAGCAGCAGCAGCAGCAGCAGCAGCAGCAGCAGGCGATGATGTCGATGCAGAGTTACGCTCAGACGTCCGCGCCACCTCCGCCGCCGCCGAATAACGCTCCGATGCGGACTAATCTCATCACCGTGCCGATTCAAGACACGGCATCTTTGGCCACGCACGAGCTCCACGTGCAACAGAGTCATCATTATTACCCGCCGCCGCCGCCGCCGCCGCAAGTCAACTATGGTGGCTACAACGTGCCGCCGCCGGTGTCGCAGACGACGCAACAGTACTATCCGCAGCCGCAGCATCCAACTCAGGTGTCGTACGTGCCACCGCCACCGCCACCGCAGCAGCAACAGTACGTGTCATCGGCACCGACCTCCATAAGACCATCGCCCACTGGTTACATACAGGAGCCTCAATATGGTCCGCCGCCATCTCAGCAACAGCCGCCACCGCCACCGCAGCCACAATGGTCGCAGCATCAACAGCAGTTTTATAGGTAAAAAAAGAAGACTGCTCTTCTCTATGAGATGTGTAATATTGAGATAATAATGAGAGATATGGATATCAAATTATAAAAAAATGACAAATACTATACAGATCAAGATATATATATAGATACATAATCTATATACGTGTATATTGAATGGCTACTGGGCTGTCGAGATTTTATACTTTTTAAATAATTATAGTTTAAAGCGATTGGAGCGATTATATGTCACATGTTCTAAAGTACGATATATTATTTTAATGTAATAAAATAATTTTTTTTTTTTTTATTTAATTACTGGATATTTATGAAATATTTTATTTTTTAGTTTCTACGGCAACATTAAAAATGCTATTCAAAGGTAAATATATTTGTCATCTAAACAAGTTTATAATATAATTGTGTAGTATGTATAATCTTGATAAGAGATATTTCTTTTGAAATATTTTAATCTTAGGCATTTGCAGAACGTGTGTTTGTCACATTATCAGGAATTTTTCAAATTGTGATTTTTTTCTGATTATATTAGTTGTAAGATATTGACAATGAAATTAACGTGGATATTTTGTCGGTAGAATTTAATATTGTACAGATTGTAACGGTTGTAACTTATGTACAAAACTAATGATATATATATAACATGTACATATATATAATTATTATTATTATACATTAGATTCTTAAAACATGCTTCGTGTGAATTCAGCAAGCATTCGTCTCCATTTATTCAAATAATTTTGGCCTTCCATTTTTCAGTATTTACAGTAATAAATATTAATTGACTAAATACTCGTAATAAAAGTACTTAAAAGATTTATCAATCATACTGCATAAATAGAAGGTCAAAATTACTCAGAACACGCATTCGCGTTCTTACTCGCGTTCTACTTTCAAAATTTTATTACACCATACATAAAAATAGTTCTTAATTTCGTTCCATTAAATATATATATATATATATATATATCGCTATAATCACTGCCCCCTTTTTAATATCTTGTTCCCTTTACGTTTTAATACATCAATCTTTATTATATTTACAAACTCGCTGCATATCGTGGAATTATATACATTTCATTTCATTTCATTATTCGTTATAGTTATAATTATTAAACTATCTTTCCCACGCACTTCCGTTTATGTATATACGAATGTATCTATGAATGAATGAAAAATATATTATGCTTTTTTATAACATGAAATATACACTTATATGAAATAAGCGATTGTATACGAAATGAAATTATATAGGAGAGAATTACTATTTAAAACTGAAATTTTTATACGTCTTGATATATAACTAAAGTTAGAGATTCCAATAAAAATAGAACTTGTGATAAATGAGAATGTTATATATTATATCGATTATAATAATTTAGAACATTTTGTTGAAAAAATATATATGTTTAGATTGAAATGTAAAAGTAGAACTTTCTGCATCTTTATAGAAACTATCTGACTTCAACATGTACACGTGCAAATTCACAGCAAGTATTCTAAATGTATTTTTAATGATACAAAATTCATTATGAAATAAGACATTAAATCTCTGTTCACTTTCTGCAAAATTTTTTCTGACAGAATCATATCGTTTTGCATATATTGCACTGAAAGCATCTATTTGTTATATGTTATTATTAAAACGTCATCGGACTTTTTGATAGAACAATGCATCGTATAGCATTGTAAGTAAATCTATGAGGTTTTTTTATGGAGATATTAAAATGTGTTTATGTCATTCATTCATTGATTTTTACATAACTTAGTGAGAACACTGTTTCGTTTCTTGGAAAATAGCATCGTAAGATGCAAGTTATTTTTGTTTTTTATGTTCTTTAAAATTTTCTAAAGATTATATTCTTTAAATCGGCATTAATATGGCATGATAATCAATAAGGAGTATTATGTGAAATTTGATAATTTGTTGTACAAAGCGCGATAGCAGTGATATTTTAATTCACGAAAAATTTGTCGACTATAATATAAAAAAATTATGACATTTCTGTTTATTAGATAATTTGATTTCTTTTTAAATGGCAGTATATTTCTTCTACTTAGATGATTGTTATGTTAAAGGAGTATTTTGTGTATTGTATTGAATATCACCTCTCAGAGCATGGAAATGACAAAAAGTTAAAACTTGCATTTCATACTTATATAAGAACAGCTAGCAACTTAGAATGACATTGGAGTTTTCTTTCCAATTTTCAGAAATGTGAACAATTGAGTGTATATAGGTTTTTTTACACAAAATATTCATATATAAATAATATTTATCAGTGTATACACATAAATGCTGTCAATAAATCGAGTCTTATTACAGTACATATGTATATGCACTGTTAATTTTCTTTGAAATATATTCATGTCGTAAATATGATACGTAGATTATGCATGAGGTAAATCAGTGATAACGTGTTTCATCCATAGATACATGATTAAAAAAATAAGATTTAGACCCATTATTGAATATAGCCATATTATAAATCCGCCTTACATACTTATGTTTACTCTTCGGAGAAGATTTTCAATATAATTTATAAACCTATTGAAATCAGTCAGTCTCGTATAATCACGTATTACTAGTGGGATGATTATGTATATTGACATTGACTTGTGGAATAAGCGGAGACGCGAGTGGTTTAGGTGTGGCGGAGTCGGGTATTGGTATGGAAACTGCCGGAGGAATGGGAGAGTGTTTCTTAGCTCTGTCTGGTTGCCAAGGTTTCGCATGATCTCTGCTTAACCTTTCGCTCAGCGCTTTTAATGCTATTTGCCTGCAAAGTCGACATGAATTAAAGAGATAAAAATTGCATGACTTGCAAAATTATACTGGATTTCTAATGTACTAAAATATTGCAAGTTGAGTTTATGCATCTGTATATTTTATTTTGTAATCACTCACCTACGTCGTTCGCTATCGTGAGGATCAATACCAGGAAGATTGATAACCAAGCCGGGTGGTGTATTGGACATGTCGAATCTTCTGACTACTTTTCGGCAAAGTCCAATACGCACAAAAAATCCATGTATAGTATTACTTACTAACGCTATTGGCGGTTGTAAGACATTTGGGAAAAAACTGTGAGAAAAGTTTTAAGTAAGCAGCACATCGAATTGCTAGCATTTTCACAAATTGATGAAAATTATAAAATTCTCTTACCTTGCAAATGTAAAGTTGTCCGCCATGTCTCCTCGACTACCGTTGTTATGTTTTTGATAAAATCTCAGATATATCCATGATATCAACAATCCGCTGAGAAACATAGTGGGATGAGTACCTTCCAGCAATCCAATAAGCCATAATATCAATCCAACAATCCAGACCATTAAAGGTATATTTCTATTTGTGATCTTTCCAATAGGCGTCTTGATTAAGATATGATCTGGCATTATTTGCTTTACTGCCACTGCAACTCCTAAAAAAACAGAATTATCTTGTATGAGTTACTGTAAATTAAAAAGGGCATAATTAGAAAGTTTTTTCTAATCTCTTTGATATAAAAAACAGTATAAAATTCATGGAACATTACATGCAAGTGATATAAAAATACTTTAAAGAAGTTATATCAATTGCTAAAAATTAATTAACTCCAATGCATAATTTCGCAGAGTGTGAAGATCAGTTGATCAGGCTTCGCGCTAATCATCAATGCAAATAGGTATAAGAGAAAGATACCTGCAATGTAGCCAGTCAAGCCATGTATGTGTATGTTAAAGAGTAGGTCCGGATTGCTGGTGCACATGTAGAGAAACAGATAGAAGAGCGACGAGAGCACTGCGACACCGAAGTTGACAATGGCAAAGAATGTCATCATCTCGAAGGCGCCCCACAGGGGCTCGATTAGTTTACCACACAGACCGACGGTGACGATGTCCACGCATACTTCCCAAAAGTGTATCTCCAGGAAGCAGAAGGTGAAGGCCGTCCAGAACCAAAAGACCGGCGGCAGCAGGTAACCTGGCGTTACGCTCAGGATGCGCACCGCTTCTTCGGAAAAAGATAAGCAATATGAGAACAGTACCACTACGCAGATGAATTTGACACTGGTGCTGGTGTTGCCCAGGAGAGCTGCAGCCTGTTGCCTCAAGTAGGGGATATTCCTACCCAGGCCCTTTATCGCCGCCATCGCCGCAAGCGAACCTAACCTCTTTTTGCACCTTGAAGAGAACTACCACTCCGCCACTCGCGCGTTGCTATTTGACGTTGACTGCGAGTGTACGAAGTGTCGATTGGATACACTCGATGTGGAATCGATCATTTTTGCTATCGACGGCGAAATGAATTGAAATAAGCCGAATAAAAATTTCAAAATTATAGTCGTTGGTAAAATAATGATTTATATCATTGTCCGTTCTTTGTTTTTTTACTCGAAAACTTGATGTTAAATCGCGCACAAAATTGAGGCCTTTTGTCAAATCATACGGCATGTCGAGTAAATGCAATTGTTCCGTAAGTATTTCATGTAATCATATCATTTTGGATCTAAAATTTTGATATGCAAAGTGTGACAGTTTCGACCAGCTAACATAACCCTAGTTATGTCATTTTTTGTGGATTAATACATCTTGTATTAGGTTATACTTAATAGCAACAAATATAACATAAATAGTAATATAAAATTATGTTACATTATTGATGAATTGATATAGCATTAAATATGCAATATGGCACTAATTCATTACAGCAATTTTAAACACAAAATGCTGTTTGTAAATCAAAGAGCTGTTCATATTTATTGATGAATTAGTATTATGAGATAAGAATTATACTGTCAGATATATATTTTGGGAAAAAAACCTGTTTTTTTGACTTTTGCAAAGATTTTGCATACAGTTGTTTTGCATGTTTTTAATAATTAATAAATTATTACCTAACAATCCTCCTTTTCACTTCCTTTATTTTTCAAATTATTTCTGTTTTAATAAATAATAAATAAAAAGATAAAAAGCCGTTGCTAGTTATTCATGCAGTATAATTTCTCTTAATGTACAAAGACAAACGTTTCGACCTGAAATTTTATTCTCTGACTCTCTTCTATGATTTTATTTTTTGGATACTTGGTTTCATTATTATCACGTATGTATATTAACTAATATTTTTGTAATAATCATAATTCGCGAACTAAATTACTTAACAATTACAGTGTTTTTTAAGAATAATTGCAAAACAAGGAAATCTCACTAATTTATTCCACGCCACGTAAATGTTTGCGCTTATCGTTTCGGTTTTTATGAAATTCTCCGACACTATTAAATTTTATTATGTTCAGTTTATATTGTATGACACTGAAGAAGGCCTAATCTAGGTCGAAACATTTGTCTTTGTACATTAGGAGAAATTATACTGCAGGAATAAGTAGCAACGGCTCTTTTTGCCTTTTTATTTATTATTTAATAAATTATTGGAGCCTACACTTTAATAAATATATTCTTTTTTTCCATTCTTTTCTCATTTTTTTACATTATTTTTACTTTAATAGATACAATGAAAAGTTAGATGATTACTTATTATTTTTTCTATTTACAAATCTTACATAATTTTCGACATTTTTAGTTAATTTTATATAACAAAACAGCTCAAAGTTACAAGCTACAAGTTTTATTCATCAATTATAAGATTCTTTAATATTTACTTTTTGCAATTATCTATAACTTATGAATAATTTATATCAATACTGATAAATTTATAAGATAATTTGATATTAGTATATCTTTTTTAAATACATAATTATCTGTCAGTAAGTAGGTAACTTACTTATCTACTTACCTATTTACCCAAATAAGATAAATAATTGTTCGACAAAGCTGCAAGGTGGCGACACCTCAAATAACTGTCTATAGAAATTTGAAATTGTTACGCGTCCATTTCTCATGTTAACTTCTTCTAATACGCATCGATGCTACTGAAAATGATCATGATTTTGGAAGCACAAATGGTAATTCAAATTTGCTCATTATTATCAGTTTGCGATAGTAGATTTCACAGAGTCACACGCACACACACACACGCGCGCGCACACAGCGAACGACAAACAGAACGCAGTGTACGTTGCAATAAATGCTTCAGTCTGCAATTTACCATATTTGTAAGAAATAAGTTAACCATAAACTGCAACACATTCTGTGGATACCAAATTTTATATATTTGATTATATATTAGTTTTATTATTGTAAACAAGTATTGAATATTTACTATGAAAAATGTATAATATAGGTTATAATTTAGCATAAATTATAAAATTTATGAAATATTTGATTGATTTTGCAATCTTAAGCTACAAAAATATATAATAATTATTTTATTTAAAATATTATATAAATTTTTGAAGTAAAGTAAATAGTATTAAAACAAATTCTTTTTTAGATATAGAATACTTGATTGTAAATCAAGGCAAGAATTTTGCCGGCCTTGGACCGCATTGTCTGCGAAATCAGTTTCTGCTAATAACAACATTACTGATAATTGTGAGACAATTAACGAGAGCGATGCGGTATCTCGGACACCAAAGCAACAAGATCGATTGATAGCACATTGAGAAAATTTGGAGCAAACTCGGCTGAAAGTTCCTTGCAAAAAACAGCAAAGGGATTTATCGCAGAATGCCACACAATTAAAAGTTTAGATCGCAGCAAAGGAATGAGTAGCTCGCAGAATCAATTAAGGTGAGATATTAAATTGTATTATATTTAATTATTTTAAAATATTTAGACCAATTGAATATGATTTATTTAAAGGAAATATTTATGATTATATTGATTGAATTAGGATTGTATTTTTGGGGACACACACATTCTGTAGTATTTAACACATATATTTAACGCTTAACAGGCAATACTTTTATTTCTTTAGTTAAAATTATAATTCACGTTAAACACGATTATAACAAAAGGATAAAAGAAAAAATAGAATACAAATTAAACGTATCCGATGCGGGATTTTTTATGTACACTCTCTTTTAATATTTTACTTAAATTATTTATTATTGCGAGAATAAATCGTATATGTCTGACTATCATTCACACTTGTGTGTAGTATTTATAACTGCTTGAATTACAATTGCGACGGGCGGCCAAGTGAGATAGAATTGAGGATTGTGAGCACAGATATTTCTAGTGCTACGGGCGAGGATCGGACAAAGGTGATTCTATCCACCTGCGAGTCTTCCTCCTGCCGCGAGTTTAGGAACGTCGGCGTCGATACCACCGATATTGCGCTTTCATCGAGTCGGAAGTGTTCGTGTCCGTCACGGCCGTTAACGGCAAGTCACTGCACGCCTTTTCGCAGACGGGTGTCCTTCTGCGACGCCGCTGTCGTCGGAACCGCCGCGGACGATCACTGTCGCCGTGCGACGATCATGCAAATGACGATCTAGCGAGCTCGCGTCGCGACAGCGGCAGGGAACTCGAGAATAACGAAGACCGGGCGACCTTTTACGACATATGGCAGGCGGACAATTTGTCGGCTGGCAGAAGCGACGACGGATATTCGGAAAGTGCGTCGAGGCTCGATAATTACGCGGAAAATCGTTCCGTATCGGGTTGCGCTTCCAATAGAGGCCAGCGTTCGCATCCGGAAAATATCGACGAGCGGATAATCGAGAGCGATGGACGTGCACGAGAGGGACGGGACGGTAAGAGTGACGTTTGTCCGGCGAATCGCGGTGTCGCTGAAAATAAGACGAGGAAGGTCGGCGAAGATGCCATGTCGAATGAGGATTTATCAAGTCTCACTTACAAAAATATAGACTCGATCAGCTGCGACGAGTATCGCATGCGAGGAGGTTGCGGCGCATGTTGCTGCGGCACGCGTGAAAAGTGGGTGAAACCGTCATTTTTGTCACGGAAAAATCGAACACAAAATTTGACTTTATTATTTATAATCTTTTCGCGAGAAAATCATACTGTCGATTAAAAAAAAGAGTAATATCAGATTGATTTTAGAGACACTTGCGGCGTTTAACAAAATTTGTAGCATACATTTTTAACAATTAAATCTGCTTTGAAGATATCGAGGTTAATTAAACATAAATGTTCTTTACAAACATGTATTGGCGTAGTGTACGGAGAAGTTTGCAAGATCACGGCTGCTGTGGAGGATCAACGCCTGGACCGAATGAATCATGTGCGTTTAGTTCAGACGCTCAGAACTGCGCCGTGCGTTGCTGTTATCATTGCCCTCAAATCTGCAAGAAAGCGGCTAGATGCGATGCGCCTTCGTGCGCGATAGATGTCCAAAGTTGCGGTGGATGTCGCGGCAGGAAACCCGGTCAGATCTGCACGGCGCCACCGAGAACCTACAATTCGCCAGCACATTCCTCGCGCGGAAGATCGCCTTGCGCGCCACGCTGTCCCCTGCCATCGTCTTGTCCCGCTAGCAGTTGCGGAAGCTGTTGCAGTGGAATCTACGAGTGTGGAAGGTGTGAATTCCGCGGGGTTTTACACCCCCTCATCGTACATCTTCCTTTTGACTGATTTGAAGCTGATTCTTGCTTGTTAATTATTTCTATTCTTTAATTAAAACTGTAATCCGCTAGCTATAATACAGCTTTGGACTGTTAAAATATTAGAAATTAGATGTAAAAAAATACCGTTGTGTTCCGATTATGCTAATAGTGATTTGTCTGTACACAGGTCGCGCAGTCCGAGATGTCAGTCCACCGTTAGCAGCGGATACTGCATCAACAATGGAACAAAGTGCGGCACCGATGGAGCCTGCTGTCGGCTGAGATTGCTATGCGAGTGCCTCGGTGGCGGACTCGATTGTCGGCGATGCGGAAGAAAGGTCTACCAGGCTGAGATGCAGGTAAGTGCGATATTGTCGATGTTACAGCATTGGAAACCGAGATTGTGATCTCAACGCTATCAAATATGAAATATTTAAGCCAAAGAAAAAATTGCAAATTGCAACATCTGGATATCTAAATGGAATATTTTCACTTGTGTGAATAGTAAATTGCGATGTACAAAATAGAAAGAGCCGAAAGAATTTGAGGAGGATGTTAAAAATTTGCGCGCATAATTTATGATGGGTAATTGCTTTCCAAGATCGCTTCCGGAGTGCCCTACCACAGCATTTGCTTCAGTTGCTTTTGTTGCCGAAAGCCGCTGGAACCGCTGACTTATCAGGAGAACTGCGGCGAGATTTATTGCAAACGTTAGTATCATCGAATTATAGAAAACACAGAATTTTAAGAGATATAAATTCTTAAGCTTTATACTTTTGAAATATTATCACTTTCGCGCATTTGACTCTCTTTAATCGGATAATTGCCGTTAAGTTTCGTCGGTTAATATTACCGATATTAACTGAGTTTCTTCCATAAATTGCACAGAATGTTACGTACGTAATTTTGGACCGCAAGGATACGGTTATGGCGCGGGAGCCGGCGTGCTGCAGACTCCCCTGTGAACTCGTCGATTGCCTAATATCGGCCGCATGTCCGATGATAAATCGTGAAAGCATTCAAGTACAGTTATACAACGTCCCTTTATGCGCTGGCGCATTTCTTTATGAGAGTTATAAAGTCATGCGTAAAAGAGCGTACAATTAGTGCACATTAGACGTCCGCTTTTGTGGCATCGTAATATTTTGTATGATGTTTCGTATACACGATATTTGATAGGCGCTTTTACCGAATAAATCTTGTGGCAAAGTACTCAGCGGCATTATTCATGATATTCAACCCGTTTGTTCGGCGATAAGTCGCGAAAAGGAAATAAAACGTGAACACGCAAAAGAGCGGAGTTGCGAATTAAAATAAAAACGATGGAAAAGAAATTCGCGAAAGCTGCTTTGCGCGGGGAAGAAAAAAGAATGATATATTCGGTTTATCGACTTTTTCCACCTGCGGAATTGTAAAATGACTCATTTGGAGTCAGTCGCGGAATAAACCAGACGCATGTGAGGAAAAACAAAGAGAGAGAGAGAAAAAAAGAAAGGAATTGCGAATTGCGAGGCGAGAAAAATAGAAATAGAAAAGGATTCGCGACTTAGGAGAAAGATTGAGCGTATACGGCGGCGCTTTCGGGGAGGAAGAGAATGGCAGGAAGCGTGCACGGTGGTGCGTTTGGGTTTGCAAAACAGAGAACGAGGAGGAAGACGAGAAGGAGGAGGAAAGAGTGAGTGGTTGGTTTATTGAGTCTCTTTCCGGCGCGGTGGATTGCGGAGGCAGGCGCAGGCGGAGGGGCGTTTATATAGCTTTCAGGCGCAGAAGCTTAATCTAATTTCAAATATAAATCTGTTCTCTCTCTGTATGTCGCCGCTCTCTTTCTCTCCTCGCTCTTTTCCTTTCCATCTGCCGCTGGCTGCGCCCTTCCTCTATCCGCATAGCGGCGCGCTTACATTATACCCGCCCGGCTACGAATAATGTTTTTTCGCTTTTCCCATTAACGTTACGAGACACGACGACTTGCGCAGCGTACCATATAAGCGGCGAACGTCGCTTTGTCGCGCAACGTTTTCGATATAGATACGATTATAGCGGTAATAACATGTTGGATCTGAAAGAAAGCGATACATCTCGGTATTCCCTTTTCTTTCTTTTTTTTTTCTCCGCGGTTCGATTCAGAAAGAGTCACCGGCTGAATGTTTGACAGGCTTCCCGCAGGAATATAGAGAACTGATATATTCTATAAAATTTATGAAAAGCGTGCTTGACATATGACCCGATTTGGAATTTCGCATCGATGTTTTTCATGGCAAGCCATAGATTTATTTATGCTCCAAGCCAGAACTAAAAAACATTCATTTTGATGCTGTTTTTTTTTTTTTACTGTATATCAGCAATTTTTACGCTTCTTGCGCGTAGCTCCTCGCGTAATTTATTCAACGCGACTTAAACATCGCGAAGATTCTTACCCGTCCGCGCAATTTTCATTGAATTTCAGCAGCTTTGCTTACATAGAGAGCTCGCGGAAATTTGTCGACGATTGCACGCGACCCGCTGAATATTTACACTACAACGTGGAACAATTCCCGATTTTTTTCACCGCGCATCGTCCGGAATTCTATGCCAATTTACCAATGTAAACCGACGTATTCAAATTTGCCCTCGGGCCGTGAGCCGACGGGACCGGGAATTTAAAAATGCTAGCTGCAATTTTTTTTGCCACCGCGGCGGTGGCGGTGGCGGCGGCGGCGATGCACCACCGCTCAGCGCATCGAAATCAGCAAAATATCTCTTTTCGTTTGACGGCCGTTCGATTCGGCCCGGGTCTTTTGTGAGCCGCGTGGCGCGCTTATTTCGAACCGGTATGAAAATCAATTATTTCGTTAATTCGTGCGTTACATTGGCTGTCACGGGGCCATCACTGTGAGCGACAGCGGCCCAAGGCGCTATTTTTCAATTCCCGATGTCGCCCCCGCCTTTCGCAAACTCGTATTTCCGTCCCGCTCTGTCGTTCCCGGCGGCCTTATCTCCATGCCGTCCTCCTCGATGCTGAGTCCGCTGCTCGGAAGCCTCCTAAGTCTCAAAATCGCTGTTTAATTCGCCGCAGATCACGATCGGCTGTTGTAGGAAATCGTTCTTATAAAACTCAACTATTATCCGGCCTTCAATTTACACGTACAATGTTTTAAAATTAAATCAATCTAATGTGCCGATCGTATCTGCCTTGATTTTGCTTGCGATTAAAAAGTTATTTTAACTTTCGAAGATATTAACGATACAAGCCTCTGCGGGAAGAAATAACTCGTGCGTTTTGATAAATTTATGTTGACTTTTGTCAATATAATCTTTAATTGATTGCACCATTCTGTATTTTGATAAAAAAACGTTCAATGACGTTTTCGAAATGATTGATCGCAATATTTGTCAGAATTTTTTACGCAAAAGGTATGAAAAAAAAAAAATACTTTTCAGTGCATTAAAATTATGTGAAATGTCTCGAAATTGGACGCATTTAATACTCGTGTGCGCCGAGACAACAAATATCCTTGAAATAAAAATGCCTCTCGACGGAAGATATTACATCTTCGTGCAATTCTACGTGAAATTAGGTTTTTCCACAGTTGATTTTTCAACGGTTTAATATATTTTTAACATACATACAATATTTATTCATATTTCATGCACAAAAGTTCCTTTAATACGGTTGCTCCATATGTAAAAGTTACTTTAATTTATTGCAATGCGTCTGACTGCTCCTAATTAACGTACAGCGCGAATAAAACACGGTACGGTTGATGCGTGATACGAGTTTCGGTCTCTACATCGTCGTTTCGCGAAGCGAGTGTATAATTAATTACCAACATTTGGACATGCGCGTAACAGCAATGAAATCGCGACGTCAACGATTTGTGAGAGAGCCCGCGATATGCCGGATGGTATATAACGTTTGAAATTAATATCGTCTCATTTGTCAAAGTACGATACATCGTCTCTCGCCGTCTGACGGAGAGTACCTTTTTTCGGCAGGGCGGGGGGGCGCATCGAACAAACGCCCTACCCCAAAACGGGCCCCCCAAACGTTGTCACAACATACCTACGGCGACGAGGCGTTCTGTCGATGTGTTAAAAGCTGCGCGATATTAATAGCGTGTTATGAATTAGCCATTTTTGTGTGAAGCGGCAGGTAGGCCGTCGGATTCCCATGATACGTTTTCAATTGGCAGGGAAGCGAGTTTCGGGTCTTATAAAATCGGTGTGACGCAAATGTGCGCGCGCAATTTACTAAAAAAAAAAAGGCAACATCACTTTGCACAATGTTTCCGAAAAAAAAATCTAATTCGTTTGTTTGAATTAGGTAATATTTTGCGGCTTCTCAGCTCGCATCGGTATTTTTATCTAATTGTCAAGCGCTATATTTGTTACTGAGTTCAAAATAAGCCAGATATATGTATTATTTATCGCAGTCCGTCGCGCGTTTAAGTACAGCGAAGCCTGAATCGTGTGAAATGGCAGATGTCGTCTGCTTTGCGGTTGCAAAAGTGAATAAAGCGTTGACCAGATCTCGTAGGACGAACGTTTAACGGAGCGTGGCGTTGATCTTATTCCGCGTGTCTAATTGCTTGACGCGTGGACGCTACCGTAAAGAATCTCCCGCGTGCATTTCGAATACATTGCAGTCCATTCGGGGTGACGTCAAAGGGGTGGCGGATCATCTCTTAGATGACGCTTGTCGAATCGGGCGGTATTTAAATCGAATTAATAACGAACTCAGGGAGAGATGCGCGCCCGTCTTTGTTACATTAATTTATTCAACACATCGGTCTATATATAAAAAAAAAAAGCAACTGATCAAACGAGATAAATGGCCTAAAAAAATTTCTTACGCGAGGAATATCGCGACAGTTTCGGGAGTTAAATTCGGAAACGAAGGATTAAAGAGAGAAATCTTCCTGATCACAAAATCGGCGCGGATTCATCGATACATATTTGTGCGGGCATCGCTCGGAAAAGCTGTCCCCGTCTCGTCATCCGTGAAGCGATCGCGAGCAATACGGTATAATAACAAAAACATTAATAATAATACGTCGAAGCACGCGAGGCGCGCGAGGTCCCGATGCGTACAGCGTGCACGCGTTTAATTTGCATGGTATAAATCGTGTTTCCGGTCGAGCACGCAACGCAAACACGCGTTACGCTTACGCTCTCTCGGTCCCTCCTCGGCCCCGACGAGAGAAAGAGCGTCGGCTCTCTCGCGTCGCGTCGCACATTGTGACCCCGCTAATTTATGATTCGATAAATAAATCAGCGCCGTT